AGGTATTTTTCCACTCAATTGGTTGTCAGATAGGTTCAAGTAGCTTAGAAATGACAATCTAGACATGCTTTCAGGGATTGACCCGAGCAATTTGTTTACAGAAAGATCAAGAGATTCTAGTGAACTCATGTCACCAATATTTGAAGGGATCCTTTTAGTGAAAAGGTTATGTGACAAATTTAGTGATTGCAACCCCTGAAGCCTAGTTATTTCCCAAGGGATATCTTCTGATAAATTGTTATTTGACAAATCAAGGACTCTTACCAAATTAAGAGTTTGATCATATTCATGACGTTGGCCTTTTATCACTAGAAATACATTCTCAATAAAATTTGATGTGTTACTATTGTATGTAATGTAGTTCCCAAATGAGCCATTTACAAAATAAGCCATGGCACTTAAGTTACTAATGCAACTTGGTAAGCTTCCGGAAAGCCTATTTTGAGCAACATCCAAGACTTGGAGAAAACTGAGTGCACATAACTCTTTAGGGATATGCCCCAAAAATTTGTTTGAACGTAGCCTCAAGATTGTCAAATTTAGAAGGTTATGACCCATCCATGATGGGATGTTCCCAACCAATTCATTTTCACCAAAATCAAGGGTCACTAAAGCTGTACAGTTTTTTATTGACATAGGAATTTCTCCTGAAAGGTTATTACCATGAAGATGCAACGATTGAAGGGATTGTAAAGTTCCCATGGTGTTTGGAATTTCACCTGTAAATTTGTTGTTATCTAATGCAATGACCTCTAGATTTGGCCACTTGGACCAACAATTTGGTAACTCTCCAGAGAAAAAATTGTTGCCAAGATTGAGAACATACTTTTGATCCATGGTCTCATTAACCCCAAAACACAAAAAGTTGAAAAGGGAACCTGATAGAAGATTATTAGAAAGGTCTAAGAAAATTAGATTAGAGAAGATCTGTGATAATGAATCGTTGAAGGTAGAAATACTTGGAAGCTGCCCATGAATTTGATTGTGAGCAAGATTTAGAAATCTCAAATGAGGAGGCAAGTCCAAAAAACAATTGGGGAGAATACATGAGATTCTGGAGTTGGATATGTCTAAGAATTCTAGGTGTCTTTGAGAAGAAAGCCAATGTGGAAATTGTGGTCCTAAATGCCAAGATCTTAATCCTAAGGTTTCAATTTGGAAAGGAGGAATCCAACCACGATCAACCTTCAAAATCAATGGGTTCCCATTTGCAACTAAATAAAGCAAATTTGTGAGGTTAAAAAAGTGTTTCTCAGAAAGAGTACCCTCTAAAAAATTATTTGATATATAAACATATTCTAAATTAGAGAGTTGACCAAATGACTCAGGAAGGTTTTCTTTGAATTTGTTTTGAGAGAGTTGTAAATATTTTAAGGATGAAAGCTTTCCTATGGATTCTGGTATTGAACCAGAGATTGAGTTTTTAAACAAATGCAACTCTCTCAAATTTTTAAAGTTCCCTAGTTGGTTGCTTAATTGTCCATAGAGGCGACAGTCACCCAAGGACAATAACTCTATTTTATTAGAAACACACCTAGAAAACACTTCTAAGACATTTGATATGTTTAGACTCAAATTGACACCTGAGAGGGAGAGTGACCTCAAATTGCAAAGATTTCCTATTAAACTAATTGGGATTTGACTTTCAAAACTATTAAAGGACAAGTCAAGGTCAACAACAAAGTTCATCTTTCCAATGTCACTTGAAATTTTACCTTGCAAGAGATTTTCTCCAAGTTTTAGAGACTGAAGAGGAGCAAAAGTGTACAACCAATTAGGTATTGACGAATTCAAAGAATTGTATGACAGATCAAGGTGCTTCAACGAAGTCAAATTTTGAAAACCATAAGGGATTGGACCTTCAATATGATTACCCCATAGATCAAGGGAAATTAGGTTCTTGAGACCAAGAACCAACCAATTAGGTATTGAGGAATTGAAAGAATTGGATGACAAATCAAGTAGCTTCAACGAAGTCAAATTTTGAAGACCATAAGGGATTGGACCTTCAATATAATTACCTGATAGATCAAGGGAAATTAGGCTCTTGAGACCAAAAATTGACCAATTAGGTATTGAGGAAGTGAAAGAATTGGATGATAGATCAAGTAGCTTCAACGAAGTCAAATTTTGAAGACCATAAGGGATTGGACCTTCAATATAATTTCTTGATAGATCAAGGGAAATTAGGTTCTTGAGACCAAAAACCCAATTGATCATTGACAAGTTTTGGAAAGAATTCCGAGAAAGAGAAAGGGTAGCAAGAGATGATAAATTTACACTTGCAATGGGATGGAGCTTATAAGGAAGTTGACAGTGTGACAAGTGTAATTCTACCAAAGAAGGAAGTGTATTTAATGCTTGAAACCAATTGGAGGCTTGGCTAAGATTCACACGACTCAAATCAAGGTACTCCAATGAAGAAAGACTAGACAACCAGTGGAGAGTCTCAACATGCAAATTATTTTTCCCAAGATCGAGATATTTCAGATAAGAAAGATTCCCAAGATGGTGAGGAACTTTCCCCCCAAATACTGAATAGGAGAGGTTAAGATATCTTAAACTCCCCAAAGAACCAAAAAACTTGGGAATGTGAATTCCTCCAAAATCATTGTTGCTGAGATCCAAATAACTCAAATGCTTCAAATGGAGCAAAGAAGGACTTATCTTACCACCCAGCCATGATCTCACATAAGCCTCAAAAGCCACACTGTCATAGTTGTAATCCAATGTAGGTACTCTGAGGTTGAGTTCAATGACATGACCAGTCACGTTGTTGCAGACAATTCCTGTCCATCTGCAACAGTCTCCATTGAAATGCCAAGAGGCCAATCGATTGGTGCGATCCACGATACCCTGCTTGAACTTCAAAAGGGCTTCTTTCTCGCTCTCAATGCAGACCGCATGAACAGAGTTGCCATTACAATTGCTAATAATGGTAACATTAGTGATCAGAAAGAGAAAGGCAAGGAAAAGAAAGATAAGCCGAGCCATTGGATTCTGAATCGGAAAGCAATTAATTTCTATGGAAATCCAAGAGAGGCAATGCGGTATTTATATATGTCATTTCCCAGAAATTGCAATGCTATTTCCCTACCCAATTAATGTTGCAGTGCTCAGACAAACAATAAAAAAGAATAATTATTGTGTCCTATTAGAGAAAAGAAAAAGTGGTTGACTTGTATATCGTGATGGGCTCTCCACTGTAGAAAATAAATGAATGGTGTGGGACGACTTCTACCTAATCCTGATATGCTCCACTTTCTCCACACGCTTTTATTTTTATTATTATTATTATTGTTATTCTTCTTTTAA